GCGCGCTCCCTATTCACTGACATGGACCGGTGCAGTGCCTTGCAACGCCCAACACGTACGTTGTCGACTCTTTGGGCCGCTGAAACGCATCACAGTGGCGTTGGAGACTGACGTGCTTCTTCTGTCAGACTTATTTCAAATAGCAGAACGCCTCGCGCCGATCTCTCGCTCAAGAATGCAGATCCGATATCTCAACAGCCTGTCCATCGGACCTATCATCTCTGTCTCCCCCGGCTCGCTGAAACTCCAACAACATGCGTCAGTACATAGGAGCTTGCCATGCAAGGGCCGAATGTGGTTGCATGGGTTGAGACCCTTGAGATGACAGGAGAAGCTGTGAGGTACGTGATCGTTGTCTCCCCGCAATGTGCGGTTTTGACAATGCTTTGGGTCCCTTCGTCGCTGACTATCACCCGCAGATTCATCAATTCTTACTCATGATATGAATTTTCAAGTCACGACCCTGTCGTCTTAAGGCCATCTTTTCGGAGTCTGTATGCATCACTACCCAATTATTGGCCTCTTCTATCGGCTTTACTCCCAGTAGCGTCGTATCCTCAATCTTGTCTAACTCTGACGTTCTGGGTTGCGATTCTCCATGTTCTTCGCGCGCATCGCCTGTCATTCGCACATCACCCTGTCCTATCTGCTCTACACGGTGCTCTCGCATCATTGGCGTCATCCATTGTTTTACGTTCACTGAGGCCTACGTTGTCAGTGATATAAGTTTGATAGCGGACTGAGTGATTATGCAGAACCGTCCAATTCTCGCAGCTTTGCACTTTTCTTTCTGCGAAACCATTGTCAGATATGGATTCGCGCATAGCTCATGACGTACACTTTACGGGTTGACTTCTTGCGTTCGCCCCGCTGTATCTCTTCATGGCCAATCGCTGAGCGATCCGCGTCCCGGGGGCCTGCCTGCTGGACCAAAATGCGAAGGACTCTTGATACGTCGATTGCCATATGCGACCACTGAGTTCGTTCTTCGTCCCCTCGGATGTTCCACGCCCACACTAACATCGTCACGACAAGGAGGCGTACACCATCGAGGCCGGGAGCCAGCCGCCCACGCCAATCCATGCTGGCATCAGCAGGTACACATATCCGCCCTTGTGCATCGAGTCGCTCCATTGGTTGGAGCAACGCCCATTGGCGAGTTAGTGTGGCGTTCACATCGGCATCGAGCTTCGCAGGCGTTCTTGATTCGTTATCGTCAGCTCTCGCATTCCATCGCGAAACGAAGTCCCGTTTGTAGAGCTCCGCCATATATCTAGGCTTCTCATCAGCTTCTTGCCCGTCTGATGTCAGAACCTTTTGCATCGTCAAAGCCATCTCATTCTGTCGTCTCTGTCAGTGCTGCATGAACAAAGAGGACTGTTCTTGCTATACATACCGTATTGCTAGCTTCGAATCGCAAATACGATAGAGTCAGATCGTAAGCCACACATACGTCTATCCGGTCGCAGAGCTTTGACGGCAAGGCTTTGAGAAAGTTGATCGTGTTCGACTCCTCCAGCCACACCTTATGCGGCAAAACTCGAGATATGGCTGTGCGCAATGCTTTCTTATAGTCGTCCTTGTAGAGTTGACATAGAATTGAGCCGATGAACATGCAGTAAGCGCAGTGAAAGTCGCACCATATTCATACTATGCTGCTCTAGGGCAAGTTCCGTCGGATTCAAGACCGTTAATTGCGTCTGCTGCCCGACATAGGATATACTGCTCATACCACCATCCTGTCAAACAATGAGTAACCGATGAAGAAATGTCAGTCCCACATGCCGACGCACAATGATGGGTTGCTCATCGAGTGCTGCCTCCCGACTGGCAACCTGAGAGCTAGGGTGCGTCGATGTCACGTTGGCTTCGACCGAGACTGGATCGAGGTCGTAGGTTCGTCCACCATCGGGGTAAGGCCAAGTGGTGTTTGAGGAGGGGAGCACACCGTGCTCTCGTGGCTCGGGACCACCGAGCGCACGAGATAGTGGCATCAGGAGTTCAATGCCGCGTCGGTCATCCAGTGCTGCCTCCCGACTGGCAACCTGAAAGCTAGTGATCGTCGATGTCAGGTTGGCTTCGACCGGGACCGGATTGAAGTCGTAGGTTCGTCCACCATCGGAATAAGGCCAACTGATGTCTGAGGAGGGGAGCACACCGTGCTCTCGTGGCTCGGGACCACCGATCGCACGAGATACTGGCAGCAGGAGTTCAATGCCGCGCACCGCTTTGGGTCGTTCATCGAGTGCTGCCTCCCGACTGGCCACCTGAGAGCTAGGGTGCGTCGATGTCACGTTGGCTTCGACCGAGACTGGATCGAAGTCGTAGGTTCGTCCACTATCGGAGTAAGGCCAAGTGTTGTTTGAGGAGGGGAGCACACCGTGCCCTCGTGGCTCGGGACCACCGAGCGCACGAGATAGTGGCAGCAAGAATTCAATGCCACGCACTGTTTCCATCCCGACGTCGTAAGGTGCGTCTTCGTCACTCCAGCCTTCGTCGCTGCCGTCCGTATCCTGATCCTTCTCTCCATTTCCCCTTCTGTCTTTCCCGTTCTCGACGTCCCCGCCTCCATTTGCGTCGCCGCCGTCCTCATCATCAACACTTCTATCGCCATTAGCGAAGATGTCGGACATTGCGTTTCCGCCGCTAGGTATACTTTCCCATCTGATTTCTGTTATCGCTTGTCAAAACTGGGCTCAGCACCTCTGACAGATGGAATGCGCATACCATTCAGGATCTGCACCTGTTTCGCTAAGTCATATTTGAAGTGTGCACATCCTTGCGGGTTAGCTTCGGTGTATAGTAGTTTTGGGTGCCCGGGTACATCGCACACGCCTTCCGAGCTAGTACACATTATATACATGATACTCGGCGCTTTGCATGAAATTGAGGGGACTTACACCAGACTTGAGCCGCCAGGTCCACCGATGAACATAATGGCTATGCCGGCACTACGGCTGGCAAAGAAGTGCATCATGTCACTCAGGAATAGTTGAGATTCCTCCATAAACCTGAGCCCAATGACTTCAGCACATACACAATACCTATCTGAGCCGGTGCATACGTACTTGACGGCCTCTTGAGGAGATCTTGGTAACGCAGAGGCGCTCTGCTCCCATCTCTCAACGGCTTGCTTATGAGTCTGTCTGGCTTCCCTACGAGCATGGTCTTGCTCGACGTGACTCGCCGCTTTGAATCGCTCTGACGCTACAATGTTCCACGTGGATATTCGAGGAAGAGGCGCACTCCCTGGTTCCTGTTCCCGTAACCTGTCTGCATGGCGAGCATCCACCTCTACCTCCAGGTCAGGACGAGCCACTGACTGTGCCCAGATCTTGTACGCTTGTTTCTGACGCGGCTTGGTGGCGAAGAGTTTGATTAAATTGGCGATCTCCGTGGTCGATTGGCCTGCGGCTGCCTCTCTCGCGGGAAGCAGGTTCCTCCGCCAGATCTTCTTGACTTCCTAGGTCGCATACGGTTGTCAAGCTCGGTGCGCGCAAACGGTCACTCAAGCTTACGCCGCGAACTTTCTTGAGTATGACGTCCCTCCGTCTTTGTCGCTCTTCACTCACAGGACCGCCGTCGTGCTCTTCACCCTCCTGCACTGTAGACGCCTTAAGCGGATTCTCCCATCCATACCGTCGTATCAGCATTCGAGCCATCTTGTTGATGGATTCGCTGATGGCAATCTGCGGCGCATGCGCGTTCTTCAACATCCTGTATTCCCCGATGTTCTCCAGCACCATCGCCATCTGTGGCGCGCCTGTGTTTGCAGGACGCCCGCGCCTGCGCTTTGCGCCCGTAGATGACCGAAGAGCAATAGGTATTGCGTGAGAGGGCATGCGAGAAGCAGAGTACGCTGGGTGTGCGATGGTATGGGAAGAGTAGTTGAGAAGGTACAGACGCTAGGAAAGAACTTAACCTGCGTAGATGTCGCCGTGTGTGGACGTATACACCTGGAGAAGTGAGAAGTTCCATTCTTTCAACTTCGGAGAGATTGCATCACGGAAGTGTCGCGTTGGCTGTGTTTCATGAGAACGCACTTAGGAACAAGTTGGCGCGCCCCAAGCTCACGGGACGCGAAGGCTAGGAAACCCAAGCTATCAGCACGCATCATACACCGGACTTATTGGCCACATACACCCAGTGGGGGCTAGTGAGATTCAGCTCATCATCTATAGCAGGACAATGGCTCTGCCATCTATCAACGACGTACACACGACTCGCTCTCAATCTATCCCCGTTCCATAGCGCCTAGCATTTGCAAATGCTACACTCAGTGGAATGAATGTCATCCAGCCGATGACCGGCGCAGGCTCCTCCGAGAGCTTTCAATAGCCGCTCGTGGTGTAGAATGGAGAGGTTACACTTGTACCAATTGGGTAGTTGACATGTTGTTCTCAAATTCGATTCTAGGTGTGACGGTTAGGCTAGAGTCATTCAATCTGGCCTGTAGCCGCTGCTGGGTACCGAACGAGTGCGATTGCGAGTTCCGCTGGGCCTGGAACCCCGCCGCCGAGCTCATATCGAGTGTACGCCCAATGTTCCCGCCGCGTTCGGTGTACGCGTCAGGCTGGATGGGAAGCTGGGCGGACCATCCATCATTTACGACGGCATCCGGACGCATCAGCTGCGACGCTTGGTTGCGATTTGAGTTCATCGTGGGGGACGGGAGACTTTGAGCTCGTCGTAGGAGCATGCGCCTGTGAAGGGCTGTCTGTTGGTATGTCAACACTAGTGGCGGGGAGGTCTTTCTTAGACGCGAGGATATGTTCCCACTGCAGGAAGCCCTTGTAATCGCGATCGCCCTGCACAGCCCCTGTTGGAAGTTAGCTTAAAGCCGCTGCAGATCCGAGCATTGCACTCAGCGCATCTCCATACGCTTGGAGGTGACGTCCAAATTCGTTCAGACCGTTCCCAAACTTCGTTCTTCCGAAGGCGCGTACGTGCGCTCCCATCTTTAATGTAAGCAGTACTGCGCAGACAACCGCGATGGGACATGCTTACAATGTAATCACAGACTTCACCTCCCGGTTCATTTGCTCGGGTGATGTGGTCATGATTGGTATCGATTCCTCGAGACCCGTCGTCATCACATCTGTCGATAGACTCAGGAAGTCGGATACGTCGGCGAGGAACCTGCTCAGCGCCAGTGCGGGTAATGCAACGATAACACGAAGGCGTCCAACCTCGAACATCATGTGGGATGGGTGGCCGGCGGGGTGGGGCGTGAATGCGCGGAACAAGATTGTGGTGAAGTTGTGTTGGGACCGTTGTTGTTCAGATGATCGAGTCTCGGAACCTGTATGCAGCAATATTTTCAGTGCCGTTTCTCATGTTTTGAGGGCATGAGGCACCACGATGGCTGAATCGGTATAAGAGACCGTGAAGGGGGAAGTCGAGCGCCAGTTCTCAGCCCCCAGCGTCATACTGTATGAATCGTACCCACATCCTTGACGCTCAAAGAGACGGCATCGTGCGTAATTTCGGTCACCGGTGGCAAGACTCTGAGTCGCGGCAGCCAGGCGTTGAATCTCCGAAGCCGCGGGGCAATGCCGACATGCCAGACCTCGAGAGCGTGTTCGATAGTGAAGACAGCCACTGGAGCTCAGAGTCGGAACCGGGCCATCTTGCGCACCAGGACCGATGCGGACAGTGTGAACAATGTGAGTATCTGCCTGTATTAGCCTTGCCTTGTCGCCTTCAAGTTCAGTAGGTGTACGTACCTCGGACAGACGTGCGCCCCAGCCACCGACAACGTCCAGGGTCTTGGCCTCCGAGCCCAATCTCTCCACTTTCTCGAGGCTGCTTGTCATTCCCTTTGGGTGTTTGGTCGGTGGGGTTGGACGAAGGTCCGTCCAACCACACACACGTACGCACTCGGCCACTAATCATTGAACAAACTGTGTCAGGTTTCGGGACGTGGCGCGGCGCGGACGATCGTGGGCGGTCCACCCCTGGACTATGTTGCTCGAAAGAATCCGTCTCGCCGTCGCGCTGCCCCCAACTACCTATTACAGCGTCGGGCGGTATTATGAGCACCGGCTCTTCGAGGGGAAGGGCGCGTCGTTAACAGACGGAGAGGGGACAGAGAGAGTGTGCGAATCGGAGCTGCGAGCCGCCGACTCAGCGCCGCGCGGGGCGCCCATTTGCAGTGCTTCGAGCGCGGCGAGCCATGCGCGCACGGTCGACGGTCATAGCTAGCAGACTTCTCCGTGCGGTTGGAAGATCATGACATATTGATTTGCGACTCTATCGAGAAAAGCCGAGCAGTGGCGGGTAGGTGTTAAATAGGTATGTATGTACATGAGAAACAGAGTTGGATGGTGGTGGTCAAGCGCCATGAGGCTAAAGGGAGTACTTGCTGAAAACTGAAAGCTCTACGCGGCCACATGACTTCTCATAGCAGGTGGTCAATATAATTTGCTTTTTTCCATAAGCCACCGGTGCCGCGGAGGCCCTCCATTCGCACGAGAGGCACAGAGACGCGGGCCTCTGCGCGCGAGTGTGGAGGCCTCGGGTGAGACGCACCGTTGTGTATCTCTGTATAATCCCTTTCCCCATGAATTGCAATTGCTCCACAAGCGAGCTACTGCAGACTAGGCTCCTTCGTGGGCTCGATGACTGGAAACCTCGTTGACGGGAGGGGAGGATGAACACTAATCATAGCGGTAGCTCTACTGCGCGGTGGCCTGCTGGGAGTTGACAGGTTTCCACGATGAGCCTTATCCTGGATGATGTAGTATGAGGTATTCACGTTGCAAACTCGCGGGCGGCTCGTCGTCAATTGGCACGACAGCGACGTTGGCGGCGCGCGAGCCGTGACGCACACAGCAATGCACGCGGCAGCACACGTGTGCGCGATGATCGCAATCAATCATGCGGTTCGAAGTCACTGCAGCGCGTTACTTCCTCCCTTGTCCTCGTCCTTCTCGTGCCGCAAAACGGAAAGCCTCTGTAAGTAACCCACAGCCCCTTCAAAATGACACAGAAGGGCGGGCAGGGCGGTCTGTGGGCGCAGCAACGGAGAAGCTCTAGGTCTCGCCGCTGTGGGGAGATCGTTGTATTCCGTGAGAGATGGGCGGGAGTTCTGTAGGTCTCGTAGCCAAACCTCCGGCGATATTGGGACAGCAGAAATGTTCGTTGGGATGGCTCATTACGCTGGAACTCGCTACAAGACTTATCCCGGCTTTTCTATCTGCCTCTCAAGACACACCGGCGCCAGTCGAATACAACGCGAGTGCATCGGATAGACGACTAGTCGGCGTATTGCGCCTTGCCACGACCTGCACCGCTCTAAGCTTGCAAAATTCTTCTCAGGCTCATAAGGTTTATCGGCCTCCCCATCTCGCATAGGCACGGCACTAAGGAGCAGATTGACCTCTTTCGTCGCGAACCACTAGTCAGTCCCGATCTGCCACCGTCCTCCCTCATCGATATACTGATCTACGTTACAGCGCGCTATGCCCGTCTCGGGGTGGTATGCGTCGCCTACACGAGTATATCGCAAAGTATGTGGCACAGTCCCCCGTGAAGTACGCAATTCGGGCGGCCCGTTGTTCGTCTGGTGCCTGACCCAAGTTTTCGCAGATGCTCAACATGACACAATTGCGCGTGCGGCACCATCAGATTGCATTTCAGATGATATGGCGCGGTACCGTTGTCTAATATGGAATATGTTCGCGACTAGCAACATCTTGCTGTCACGGCCCGGGAAAGCTAGAGTTTATTCGCCATACGCTCACTATCTGTGTTTACGACGGTGGATGATAGACGCTCACCGAGCCTAGAAACACTTCATGCGCACAATCGTTGGAGGCTTCCAACGTTAGTACGCCCGCCATCGTGAAGGTGCACGTGCCCTTCTCTTGGGCGCGATGCGTGAGAGCCTGATTGTGTTGAGCGCTGAGCCTCGATCTACGTGCGACCGGGACTTTTGCCTACTCCTGCTTTCGTAGGGTCTGACTAATGCTGTAGTGGCACGTGTTCTATGTTCGGGTTACAAGTACCCCAGTCCCCATCATCTTCCTATCTCCCCAGCAACCATGACCGGCCAGAAAGGCATCCTGAACAGTGGCCAAACTCGTGCCGTCCAGACCATTCTCAAGGAGGAGTTCGAGCCTTACATCAGGACTCATGATAAAGATTTCTCTGGATACGCGACTGTCAGTGGCTGGGCGGGCGAACGCAAGAAGCGTATATTCTCCGAGCTTTCTGTCTTCAAGACGCAGGAGGTACAAGGCGATCTTAAGCGATACCGTCAGGTGCGTATGTCTATGCGCAACGGAACGACGTTTTCAGACTGAACATTGCAGGCTGTGGACAGCAGGTTTCGCAACTGTTATCACGCCATGAAACAGCGGGCAAATCCATTTCGCGAAGCGGTATTGAAGCTCTTTACCCCACGCACTACTGCCTTTGATCTTTACGAATGTGATGTGGGGAAAGAGATTGCGGAGTCGATGGACGAAGTCAACCCCGAGGTTTATCAGGGAGTTCTACAGAAGAGGTGGCTCGATGAGGATGAGGAGGTACGCGCTCGGTACGAGAAGAGCGTGGGTGTCGTCGCGTCAAACGTCGAACAGTACGTATCGGAGCATTTGTTCCTATGTGCCTCTAATGACGATGCTTGTAGCAACCGGAAGCTGCTTCTTGCCAACCTTAAGTCCGCGCTGCATACTCTATGTCAAGAAGGCGCGCTTGGAGGCATGATGGCCAGCGTGGTGCTCGCGTATCGCGATGTCAGTGACGGGCAAGTTAGATCCGAAGTGTGAGAGATCTGGCTCAATATCACGACGCGGCTAGTAAACTCAATGACGGCGTAGTTGCGACGGGCGCGCGGCTGATGAGAACCCCCGTTTCGGGGCCAAAGGCGCCGAGGAGAGCGCACTTTCGGCGCTTGATACGGCATTGTGCGAGTATGCAGATCAATATCTTCCCCGTATGTACATCTGCTGGTAGGTCAATAAGCCATCTCACGCTATCTATAGGCCCATCTCGCCGCTCCTCTTCCATCGCGTCGCAGGATCGTATTCCTTCCAACCCTTCTGGAATCCCGGTATTTCCTTCGATCAATATGAGAGGCATGGTACTCCAGGAAATAACGGAAACAGTTATTCTGTACTGCGAAGTCTTGTGGAGTATGCTCTCAAACCTCTCGATGTCTTTGAGCGGGGAGCTGATGCCATTGATAGAGTACTCGCGCTCACCTTACCATCCCTGCGAACTGCCATGGGATGATGTCAATCTTCGCGGCTCCGATTACTACGACGTGAATCGCTACAGCTACATGTGTTTCGACCAAAAAGCACTCGAGGACCCGGCGACTATTGTTGCACTTGCATCGAGTCTTCAGGAGCACTGCGGCATCGACTCCCCGGACCCCTTTACATTCAAGTGTTCAGTTCGTCCGGCGCCGGCGCCTACGGCGGCAGTTGCTCCTGCTCCCGCTCCTGCCGCTCCTACCAGTGCTCCTCGTGCTTCTACTATTGCGCCCGAGCCTGTATATGATTTCGCATTGGACCCCGACCTTGCATCCATTACCTCCGATCAGGACCCAACCACGATCTATGGTTCAAGCCACTCTAATCAGCAAGTAGGAGATCGCGTTCATGATCAACCCGCATCAGCACGATCGTCCTCCATCACGAACCAGGTGGGCTCACCAGAGCGACTTGGACAGCTGGTCGAGGCCACGGCGCATGCAAGCCAGCAACTTCAAGACGTAGGATCGAGTCCGCCCCCTGAGCCTAATAAGGCTGCTCGCTCCAGACAGAAGCGTCAGAGAGTTGTGGAACCTGACCGCCCTGAGCGAACCGGATCATCAAGTGAACGCACTATGTATGGCCTCTAAGTTCGTTCTCGCTGATAGGATATGTCTCTGACCTATCATTTCAGATGCACTAGAGATGCAAGCAAAAGGAGGAGGCTCGCGCATGATATACGTGAGCGACCAATCGGTTACACGACCGTTCAACCAACTCCAGAGCGATTCGAGAAGGACGTGTTTGGCTGTAAGGGGTATAAATTCAAGCTTAATAGGAAGGACCAAACAGGGTGTGTTTGAGCTCTCTGCTGGCTCACATGCCGCGCGCGAAGTGTATTCAGATCGTCCTTTGTCAGATGTTATGTCTCCCGGAAAGACTACGAGGACTTTGGCGGGAAGATCCTCGCAGCTGACGAATTCAACGCCCGCAACGAGATACTGGCTATGGTGAGCCTAAATCGCCCTGTCATACACATACACATACTCATGAGATCCTCAGACCATGATCGCGCGTGATCCTGCGTGGTTGGCCGACCAAGAGATATATCAGAAGTCTGTTGTCGCTCGGCCGTGTGTGCAGTGAGGGTCGTGACCGCCAAAACACCAAGCAACATCCATCTTGTAGTACGAGGATCTCGCTGCCTGGCCGAGTGCTCTGCGTACAATTTGCAAAATCTAGCGCCGCCTTTTCTAAACCGCTGTATCTACCTGTGTCCACATATTTGCCGTGATTGTATAGTACACGTCTGAAGATCTGACGCGGCGAGAAGGCATGGCACAGACGATGGTGATAGGAAGGCTAGGAGCAGCGCCATCCTCTTAGTATATATTGCTGACTGCGTGGGAGAGACTTCTAGCAACATCTACACTGAAGGGAAATTAGCAAAGTGCTGATCGGTAGCGTAGTATCAGGCGTGTAGATGCTCGTTGCAAGACTTGTAGAGGAAGAAGCTTACACAGCAGTCAAAGTCCATACTCACTTAAACGTTTGCCGTCAGGTCAGTAGCAAGCCATGCTGCAAGGTACGCCTTGGTTATCTCCGGATAATATCTAGTGATCTTGATAGAAGAATGCGTTGTGTCAATCAGTAAGCAACGAGTCGCAGAGGACGACGCGATTTGCGGCACTTGCGGCAAGCCACGTGGGCGCGTCACCGCGCGGTCCGAAGCCGCCACGTCCGACGTTGTCGTCTTCCCGACAATTTCGCGCAGCGCCAACAGCGCAGGACACATTTCTTATGCAGATTCAGATCTACACGGAGTGAAGGGAGCGGCGTGCAGACTGGCGAGGGAGAACAGAGGCGCGGGGACGCAGAGGTACGTAGCGCGGGAAGCGCGGAGGTGCGCATGCGCGCGCTCCGATTTTCCGAACGTTCTGACCGCCATACTGCGTCTTGCCTCTTCCTACCATCTGCTCACTGCCCGTGCCCTCTCTCCTATTCTCTCTCTCCTATTCTCTCTCTCCATCCCGTCGACATTCTCTAGCTTAGTAGGTTCTCAGCGTAGCTTCGTGATATCAGGAATGATGGTGATATACACTAGCGCATGGATAGCTCATCGTAAGTACATTAATCACTCTTTTTCCATACCAGTCACGCTGATCGTCATATTCAGCTGTCGAACGCCCTCTCTACCGCTGGCCAACCTACCATCAGATACCTCCCCCTGCGGCATGATATCTCCTGCACTCACGCAATTGTCCGCCCACTTGTTCGACGGGTTCCCTTCCATGTTCGCCACATGCACTCGAGTATTACGGTACCATTTACTTCCCCCTCTTGTTTCCAATGCTGCCGTGTACATTCCTGTATCTATACACGAATATGATCAATCCCTAGTCTCTCATCATTCTCATGAAGGGGTGAAAGAAAAGGACTGCCGCCTTGATAGCAACCTGAAAGTGGAAAGACGATACAGATGAAGCCGATATGGTCAATCTAAGACCTGGGGCATGCCCCGCTCGCTCTTACGTAGGATGTTGAACACTGTCACGATGTTGCTACCGTCCCGAGAACTCATAGGCCGGCACGGTAGCGACTAACCGCTATGGCACCGCGACACAGATGATAAGCCTAGAGCGTGCTCGTAGCGGCCATTCCGTGCAGGTCTCGTTTACGCAGTGGGTATACATGACATCTACTTTGTCGGGCCAGTCGCGAGTCACTCACTCGCTGCAATCTCCTGTCTTTCAGCTCCGAATTCCGTCCTCGTCACGCCTACGTACGCGCTGAGCGCGCTCTAGCTCTCTACCCCAGGGATTACTTACTTACTTACTCACTATGGACTCAGCGCGACCACGTGCGACCATCCTCAAGTCGCGCGCTCGCGCGTTCGACCCTTACTCTTGACGACCACGACCAACGGCCGTATCGTTCACAGCTTACCGCCACGGGCCCTCCTACGGCCATCCACTCCCTTGTTATTCCTGACTGGGCACCTCATCTAATCTCCCCTCGGTCTCGCCAGCGATTGGCTCACCTCTCGCAACCGGAAACCCTCGTCGTCCTGCTCGTCCGTTCCTCCCTTGCTCCCTTCGTTCTTGTTGCTCCCTTCTAGATCATTTGACTCAATCCCGTGCTGTAGAATTTGGCTCCGACTGCAATGGTACACAAGGCTCGGTTTCTCATGTATCTAGCACAAGTTCTTCTTCCCCTCAAGCAGCAATCCATGATCTTTGGGGGGTTGCTATACCTACTGTACCCCGCATGCGTCAAGCACTCACTGAAGCCCATCGACGGAGTACTCTCACAACCGGGGCTTGTTGTTGCCGATCGATTAACGCTCCTGCGCCCGGCGAGTCGCGTTGTCTCTGCACTTCTTATTCACTGCCCAGACGCGGCTTCGCACATTGCTCGACGTGGCTGTCATGCACGGCCAGAAACTAGGATGATCAAGAGACCATGTGATCCTATCGAATATCTCAGAGCAGCAGGCCGATTCAGGCTGCGAACCATAGAACGAACGGACGTTGATGTCATAGGCTCACTCATTCCTAAAAGAGACCCAATCACCCAATGGCAGCGGTACCCAGGCCAAAGGTAATGCCGTGTTCTTGAGCCGCTTCTCTGAATTCGCGATATCAGACGTTTCAGCCACTCGTCTAGCTATCGAACACCCACGACAATCGGAGGAACGCGTTTGCGCTTCTAAATGGTAGGTTCTTCTACATTCTTTGGACAACGCCGCTCATTGTAACTGAGTATACGCTGATCTTCTCATAGATATTGCCGTATGAGGGAGGTGGGGTACACCCCCTTTGTCTTGCGTGGCCCGCGACCCGTGCAAGCGCTTATCAGGTTCGCAAAACCCATCCCTTTATAACCCCTCTCCGCACGATCGTCGCCGAGTCATTTGATACCCCATCACGCAGAGTTCGCAGTATGGCACCCGATCCCGTCAGATCGCCTTGCTTATCTCGTGGCTGTACACCATCAGCGAACTCAACAAGTCGCGAATCATCATGCGAAGGCAGTCTCCCAGCGTGAGCGACTCGTCCAGGGCATGTGGAATAACTATGCCGACGTGATTACGAGCAGGCCATGCAATGCGTACCATGATGGGAGCTCTCCGCCGCTCAAGCCATCCTACACCTCCGAGGGAAGGAGTACGCGATTGGATGCAGACTCTCTTCAACACAGTGCATCTGACGATGAGGAGAGCGCGTATGCAGCCAGTTTGCTTCGTGCTCTGCGATCTGCAGGTGTTGCAAGGTATATAACAATGATATCACATCCTGCTCGCACGTGGCAGCATTCATATGTCTTGCACATAGGGGTCCTTTCGGATCACCTCAGCCGACCCATCCGTCTTACCATTATCACGGAGCAAACGGATTGCCACCTCCGGTCACCCAGACTAGTCATCTCAGAATTGCATGGCGAGCGCGCTTAACGGACTGGTGAGCATTGGCTGAGAGATTATGCGTATGCAGTCGACTACTCACTGGTGTATAGGGAAATTCTCCCCGCAGCAGCCCACTCACCAGTCAACTCTCTGGATCAGGCTATACCTCGTCCTCTTGTTTCAGACGGTCGAGCTGGCCGGAAACGTCATTCGCAAGAATTGGCTTCCATGATACCAGTCCCGTACGTCTTCCAATGTTCGCATCAATGCCCATCAGTACCGACCTCTTTGCAGTGTACGCCCGAGGTCTCGTTTACTATCCGATGCATCTTTGCAAACAGTAGAGATGTCGATGGACCCCGCAAATCGTAGGCGTACGGAACTTGATCAGCAGATACCCGGAATTCCTACCACTATCGCTGTCGATGACAGTAGCTGTAGAGATGGCGCGGACAACGAGAACTGCGTGATTGGTTGGATCCAGGAGTTCAACCAAGGTGCCGGGAAGGAGCCCATCAGAGTGTTCTTCAATCGCAAAGGCGTGAAGCTCGAGATCGTTAGGAGGAGTATGCGTATTGACAGTAAAGCATACCTCGCGTATGCGGAAGCTGTTCCCGGCCATGTGAAGCAGTGGCGTTGTATGGGCGAGCGGGCGAGGGGTGGTAAGCTGAGCAGCCAGTGCACGTACAAGTCACAAAAGCACCTTGTCAAGCGCCACGTTGAGACGACGCATATGAGTATCAGGTATGTTTCTGAGCAGGGTGTCCTTCCAAGCACTCATCATGGCATAGGCGCTTTCAGTGCAGTTGGTGTGGAAAGCACGCCATTGTCCGCTACTCCCCTCTGCCATCCATACTGACCCGGTCCGTAGAACGTTTACTCAGCGTAGCAACGCTGAGAACTATCACGTCAACTCACAGTGAGTATGCATCCAGATGATCATTGATAGCTGACTGAGTTGTTGTCGTAGTACGGGTGAAAGTCCACATGCATGTCCTCGTTGTGGCTTGCGCTTCAAAGACCCGTCAAAGATCTATAGGCATCTCTCGCGTGACCATGGCGAAGCACCTCGCGGTAGACGCCAGCGATGAACCTCGTACTCAGTATCTGGCTCCATTCAAGCTCACCATGGTTTCCGAGGTTGCTCCTCATCACGTTGCTCTATCAACTCCCGATCATTTGCTACTTTCCATCGACATGTGATAACACTACAACTCGATTTTCCAGCGATGAGCACATGTCCACTTGAACAGGCGATGATGGCAAAGGGTCTCGCTAGCCATCCATGCATTCCACAATGATATTCCAAAGGTACTAGTAGCACGTACTACCACACCAGCCTTCACTGCCTCCACCTCTGCACTTTAAGTGACACAATAATCTTCTTTCACACCCTTCATACTACGCTCGCCGTTGCGATGGGCGAAGAACTCCCAGTTCCCTTGTTCGGATTGTGCAATACCAACGCAATACCTCTGCACTGGAACTAGCCAACGTCGGCTCCGAGTCTTGTCTTGTTTGCATCGTTAACGCGACCGTTCAGAGTGCATACCGGCGTCGCACATCGACGCTCAGAAGGGTACGCGCGCCGATATCGGAGTGATATATTATGATCGATGTACGCGAGCGGCTGTTCAGCGCGATCGGCGCCTAGCTGGCTCCAGAGAAGTGCCGCCCGGGTGTTCTCGGCGTCGACTATCCATCCATATCAGCAGTTGCGGATGGTGCGAGGATGCACTGCATACCG